ATCAATGTATAATTATAATTTTAGAGGTTAATTATGATAATGGCATATTACATCTTTAACGGCTAAAAAATGATATTACTGAAATAAATATAATTATTGAAGAATCATGATTTCTTTAAATTTAGTTATTGGTCCCCATATCTATACTTTATTTATTATATACTTGGAATCTAAAACAAAACTAGAGTTTTAGTCTGATCCAATTATATATAAAAAATTATGGCTGGTGGCTGCATATAAAATATTTTTTTGGTAATATGATTACCATTTATTTAATACTTTAGAAGAAAGCCATAGGGCAAGAACCCCAGGCTAATACGGCAGACCCCCTACTGTATATTTCTAAAAGGAATGAAGGAATATTTTTGCATTTCGTTATATCAATTTTTAGGAAAAATTATTTTCTTTAAATTTGTATACACATTTAAATTGCAAAATATAATTGTGTAATTTGTAACTACTTCCATATAATTTTGGCAATAATATACTTATGTAATTTAACAATGCTTGTTTAATTTGAGCAATATGCTATAAATTTATTTATCTAAGATTTGTTTATATTAGGTAATTAATTTTAAAAATTTTTTTCCGAAATCTAAAATAATCCTTAAATCATTTACCTCCTTCTAATATAATCATATTATTACTTATTAATTCACAACTAAAATTTTAAAAATAGGAAATTTACATCTGTCATTTTTTTATAAATTAATTACCGTTTCTTAAATTCACCCTAACGTCCATTTGCATAAAAATTATTAAAAAATTGCGGAGAAATCGAAAGACCAATAATTTTATCAGAGAATAGTGATAAATGCTATGATTACGAATACCTTTCAGAATATGAATACATATTAAAGGTCACCCACGTCTGCCCATGCTTCGGGCGAGCGTGCTCGGGTTTTCTAAAATATTTTTAACATTGGGCCTGTGGCGGGCAGGTTATTTTTAAAGTAATGGGCGGGCGTGGTTTGTTGAAAAAATAATAGTCTTGTTTCATAATGTTGCATATTATATATGTTTATTTAAAAATACATGAAAATAAATGAATAAAGAGCCAAACCAGCCTTAAAATAATTTTTAACAAAATTTATAGAATAATGGGTGGACGGGCGGGTAAATTTTATAAATAAATTATAAGTGGGCGGGCCGGTTAAAAAATTCCAAACAACAAGTGGGCGGGCTTTTTGGCTAAAACCCCGCCCATTGCAGATCTCTAATACTTATCCTGCGTATCAAGATTTTGGTAAGAACGGGGGAGAGGGCTTTAGCTGGTTATTTCCGTCATCAACTTTATTGATTATTCTTGTACTCATATTTGGGAAAAGAGGGCAGGGAAAGTTATGGGGAATTTTTTTATTAGTTTTATTTAAAATAGTACTTAAGAAAACTGACAATTTTGCTAAAGAGGTTTGTCGCTTACACCCCCCCCCCCACTCTCCCTTCTGGTTACGCCAGTGATATCAGATTAATTAAAATTATAATAACGAATTTGGCAAAAATTTGTTATAAAGCAAAAAATAAATCAGAGACCTGCAGAGGTAATATTTGTACGGCCCGGTCCGGATTTTTTTAAAATATATTTTATTTATTTTTGATTTTTATAGCTAATAATGGCGATTTCAATTTGGTTTTAAAGTATTCGGCCCGGCCCTGGTATATTTAAACACGGGTCGAGCCAGGCTTAGGGTCGGGCCTGAAGGTCTCTGAAATAAATAAAACCCAATTCTTCTATTTATTATTAAAAAAATTTATGAAAATTACCAAAACCGTAGATTTTGAATTTAAACAATGAGACCGTGGCCTGTTTCGACTTATTTTTTATATTTATTTCTGTTTAACCTATGCTAAACAGCTATTGAACTAGGGAACACTATTTTGGCTTGTTTTTAAGTGTTTGATGGCATTATTATTTTTCTCTTACTTTTAGGCTTTTTTTATTCAAAGCTATATAGCAGGCTGTGTAATAAGTCAAACCAGGACATATCTGACATATTTTGAGTTTAGTTTAAATGTGCATATCAGAGACTTGCATACCCGGCCCTAAGTCAGGCCTGGATACACGGACCGAGCTGTATTTTAATTTTTAAATTTACCCGAGCAAGGCGGGGCCTGAAATTTTTTTTTAAAAAAATACCCAGGCTGGGCCGTATATTTTAATTTTAAATCATCATTATTAGCTATAAAAATTTTAAAAAAATTCAATAAATTTAAAAAATACACGTGCCAGGCCTTATAAAAACCAAATATTTTTAATCACCATTATTAGCTATAAAAATTTTAAATATATATAATATATATTTAAAAAATCGTCCGGGTCTGAAATTTTTAATTTAAAAAAAATTCCTCTGCAGGTCTCGGGTATATTTTAAATAAATATTATTTATATATTTTTTCGGTACAAATAAAACAAAGGCAATTTACCGTTTACTTAAATCTAAATAGCTTCAAACTATTAAGTGGAAACTATATAGTCGGCTAGATAAACGACTGTTTTGAAATATGACGAAACGGGACATGACCTAAATCATTTCTATTTGGGTGTTATAAAATACCAATTAATGATGAAATAATATAATGAATTATATAAAACGGTACCGATAAATTCGAAATATTATAATTTCCTGATGGAAATAAGTAAAGTGGAAGTTCCCAAACCTTAGTGCATATATGAATTTGATTGAAAAGAAATAAAAACATATGATTAAAAGAATATTTTATCTTATTATTATGTCCATTAAAAAGCAATAAGCTTATTTTTGTTATATTGTTGTTTCCTTTGACTATTAAAAAGCTTATTTTCTATTATATTCATTAATCGAGAATATGTAGCTAAGTTAATTTGTTTTAACAATGTTTCGGCTCATCTTCTGCCAAAAGCAATATCCCTCGTTGGAATCATCGTCTTAGATGTTATCCGTTGTCCTAACTCTTTAAAAAGAGGCTAATGTGTGAGAGCCGAACGAAAATTATTTTATTAAAATCAAAATTGAACAAAAACAAAAGTAAAGAAAACTAAAAGCAAAACAAGTTAATAAATGTTAGAATTTTTTTAAATACAAAATTAAAAATGCCAATAATTCCTGGAAATTAAAATAGATTTTTTTAAATAACGAAATAATATCAAATTCCGTTTTCCTAAAATATAAATGGTTAACGTTTTTTTGTGTAAGCTTTCTAAGTGTGAAAATTTTTTGATAAATAATTGATATATTAATCATTGTTAATTTAATCTGTTATTAATTTATATCAATCATATCATAAACTTATAATTGAGATTGAGAATAAACTTGGATTATAATATTAGGCGTTTTCTATAAAAATAAAGGCTTAATATTGTCAATATTCTCTTGAGATAATCTAACCATAATGATGTTTGTTTAAAATATGTTTTGAATCGATAAAAAATTTTTTGGCTATCACTATCTTGTTTTGAAATTCATTTTAACCTAACTAATTACAACGATTGCCAATTATATGAAAGATGTTCGTTTTAAAAAAAAATATAACGATATACTTCTGAAATGTATTTGAAATGATGTATATATTTTTTTCAAACTTTTTTTTGATAATTATGTTCACGATTTCGATTATTATATAATCAGCATAAATAATATTTTTAGGTGGGAACGGGATCTTATGAGCCCGAGGATCTTGCGAGCCTTGGGGTTTTCTACTAGAGTACTCAACTTTTTAAAACTAAATATTTTATCTATATTATGCAAATGCGCTATAATTTTTAAATATCGGATTACATACAATATATGCTTTACTCTCAAAAGTTACTTTTTTAAATGATGCAATTTATTAAAAAAATAATAAAGGTTTTAATTATCCTATAACTATCTTATATAAAAGATTATACCTTATCCTATATAAAATTACTATTATTTGAACAAAAAATGTTTAAATCATTAATTAATTTTAAAGATATTGAGGGTCTGGGGCTCATATGAGCTTTTTGAGCGTTATTTTTAAAATTTATTTTTGCTTATCGAAACTTGAATATGGTAATAAATTATATTAGAAAATGGAAACAAATAACAAATGATGAAATTATTAATATATTCAATCAAAATCCGTCCTTGCTAGTCATTATGAAGAAAACAAACTTGGTCAGTAAAAAGATATAAATCAATATTAATAAAACAACAATATTTTAAATTGTCTACTTCAAGACAAATATTTAAGAAAGAGCAAGAAACAATATTTTACAATTGTCTAATAAATGCATATAAAATTTTTATGGGTCTTTGTCTCAGGCAAATGCTCTTGGGCACATAGATCCTGTTGCAATTTCAATCTATTCTTTACTATTTAAATTGTCATTAAATTTCACTAATTTTTTATAATTATTTTCCATTATGGCTTATTTTCATCCATAAAGTAGTGCAATAATATAATCATTTCTATATTTAAAATTAATCAATATTTTACAGCTCAAAAGGGCCTCATGGGAAAGCTCATCCTTCCCCGGGTGTAGCTCATCCTTTCCCAAATTTCTTTTCCTAATTAATACTGTTAAAAAAAGTATTTTTTTAAAAAAATCATTTTTATATATATAGTATAAAAGTAAATTTAAAAAATGAGATATTATTTATTAAATATTAAGAAGTTTTAATTTTATTGACATTTGCCTTTTAAGGCTCGCATGCTCCCCGGTCTTCCCTATTATAGATTTTATAAGAAATCCAATTATACAACTCAAAAGTTTGTTTGTAATTTAACTTATTTAAATTTGAAAAAAATAGGTTAAGTGTGGCAATCCAAAACTCAATAGACCCTAATTAAGCCATCGACGCTGAGACTCCCTCCCCCGTGCATTATAAATTATTATATTTAAAAAAATATATATTAAATCTAATTTTCAGTTACCTACAGGCCCTTCCCCGTATCTGGGCCATAAAATAGTTTAATTTTTAATCCAGGCCAAACTTAAGAATAAAATTAATTTCCGGGCTGGACAGAATAAATTCAACAAATATAATATAATATTTTAGATTTTTGGTGATACTCTAAATGAAAGCAGGGATCCCGACAGAGGTCATTATGAGAGATACAGCTCGCGATTTTTCTTAAAACATAACTTTTTGGAGCAAGCCTTCGATGATCTTCAAAGATGTGGTTTTAAGTGCGTGTGCGCGTGTGGATCATCAACTTCATCCGCTTGCAAAGTTGATTTGGGTAAACCATCCATGGATAACGAAGAAAATAAATGGAATCATTACAATGAATTCGTTTTCTGTAGACCTTAATTTATATTTATACTTTTTTCGTAAAAAATTTTTTTTTTTACTACGTTCGAAAAAAATAAGTATAATTATAAAATATGATAATGCAATGATTCTTGTCATTTTCAATAAATAATGTCTTCTCAATTGGTTAAAATATTTAATTAATGATGATTTCATGTTTTATAAATTATATATAATATAATAAATGTGATATAAGTAAGTTTAATAAAAAGATTTATGTGTAAATTGAGCCTTATGAAATATGTGTATGTTTTCGGTGTTAATTATATTTGTTATATATTATAATACTTATATTGTGTATTAGCAACTGATTAGATAATCTAAATTAGGTTGGATAGTCTAAACTAAATTAAGAAGCAATATCTTAAAATGATTCTAAAGGTAGGAACATAGGCTTTATGATAATAAGTATTATTTGTTTTAACGAATTTAATTTTACCAAGCTTTCAACCTCAAATATTTCTTTATTTTATTTTTCTAAAAAAAAATTAAGTGCATGATATAATTTAGGGGATGACTTGGGAACTAAGTTCTGAATTCTAGCTGGCCCGAGCTAGGGTCTATTTTTTAAAAATTTCGGGTTGGTTTTAAATTTTTAAATATGATATCATTACATTTTGTCAAATAAATTGATATATTATAAAACTCATGCAAGAAACAAGGTGCTAATATTTTTTATTTGTAGAAAATCTTTTTTACAATAAAATAATATATAATTTTCTATATTTAAATATATTTGGGTCGTGCCTGGCGTATAAATAATTTTTATTTTGGGTCGATCTTTTCGAAATTTATAAAAAAATTCGTTTGGGATCGGGTCGGGGACAAATTAAAAAAAAATGTGCCAGGCAGGCTTGAAAAATAAAGCCCGATGCAGATCACTTATTCTAACATCTTAACCTTATGAAAAATCGGAGATAGACCTAGACTAATATTAACCACCTTGTTTATTATGGATGTTTTCAATTATATATATCATTCTAAACAATTTCGTCTCAATACCCCCTTCCCCATGATCTGCTGATTTGAATTTTATGCTATTAGTATCATTGTGTTAGTTATAAAAACTTCAACTATCCATAAACAGCTTATTACAAAACAACATTCCCGCTTATATCATCTTTACGCTTTAATATTGATTTCTGGTTTTGCTAAACATTTATAAACTGGTTATTTATTTGAATAATTGATAAAATAAAATAATATTGGAAAATTATTTCAATGATGAGGATTGTAGTGTAGAATTGCTCTATTTTAACCATTTTAGCCGGCTAAACTTAGTTTTTAACTGAAAATTTATTTCAGTTTTCGGTTTTTTTGGAAATATAGCTCGCAACGCATACAAAAGTTAAAATAATGTATATAAAACAAAAGATAACCAGATTATTGTGAAATGTATTAGATATACAAATTATTAATTTGTTTTTATTGCAAAAAATATTATAAACGTTTTTTAATATTATAAATTTAATGTGATAATTTTTAATATCAAACGATATAATATAATGAGAAAATAAAAACCGATTGTAGGCAAATATGTCCTTTTCTTTTTTTAATACTCTTAAAATTTATATTACGTTTACAAAATTTGCAGAAGTCTTATTATGATTTATAATTAGGGTCATCTCTTGACTTATCTTAGTTAGGCACTGTCTAAGGTAGGCTCGATAATTATATTATAGACAGACTAGAATGACGAAAATGTTAAAACACTAAAGGCACATCCTTTATTAGGTTTTTCAACAAATATAAATTTTTACTTATTTATGAACAACACTCATTGGCCTACGCAGCGGGGGGGGGGGGGGGGGGATAATGCAGATGCCGGACATATTTTTCAAAAATATTATTTTTTATATTTTTATATTTTATTATAATTATTCATATCTATTTCTTTTAAATTTTTATATTATTACCTTTTTTATTTACTAATTTACTTTATCAATTAATTTCATTTTCAAGCTTTCTTTGTGGCGTAATATTTATCTATTATTTTTAAATTTCCCGGTATTATAATTTTTAAATTTCTAGTCATGGATATTAGACTTTTTTTAAAAAACGCTGAAGGTCAAAATCATGCCAAAAAGCAAAAAAGTATAGTATGATAATTTAATAAACAAAAGCTGTGAACTGTTGATTTCCTCAAAAGAATTCAAAAGGGGGATATGATTCCCATTTCATCAATAATTGATAAAAATAGGGTTAAAATTACAAAAGAAAATAGAGGCAAGATAAAACTAACTATTGAGGCTATTTTATATTGTGGCTTGCAAGGCCTAGCACTTCGTGGCCACAAGGATTCAAGAAGCTTAAATTTTAATAATAATGATAACGAAGGTAATTTCCGTGGACTTTTAAAATTTAAAGCATCAGGAGATCCTGTATTAATGGAGAGCCTCATTAGTACCAATAAAAATGCTACTTATCTCAGCCCTAGGATATAAAATGAGATAATTGATATTTGCAACAATATCATTTTAGAAAAATTGATTGTTGAAATCAATTCTGCCCCATGCTTCTCAATTTTGGCAAATGAGACCACGGACATTGCTGGCATTGAGCAGATGTCGTTGTGTGCGCGATATGTAGATACTCATAAAAACATTATCAAGGAAATGTTTCTTCAATTTATTCCTGTTTTAAGCATGACTGGGTCTGCTTTAGCTGATGTAATATTTGTGAATCTTAAAAAATTAAAAGTAATTATTAATCTTATTATATAATTATTTTAAAAAATATAGCTAAATATAAATATAATACGTGGGCAAGGGTATGATGGAGCACGTGCAATGAGACAATTCAATGGGCTTCAGGCATTTATTTAAAAAAAATGTCCAACAGCTATATATGTCCACTGTGCTGCCCATTCACTCAACTTAGCAATATAGGATTCATGTTCTTTACCATTGATATCAAATTGCTTAGGTTTTTAATTATTAAATTAAATTTTTTATATTTATATCAGATAAAATATCTAGCATCTATGAGATGTTTAGATACCCCAAGCGTCAAAATATTTTGAACAGAATTATATCTGAAACTCCTTGCCCAACAAGGAGAAAAAAATTGCAAAAAGCTTGTCCAACAAGATGGAGTCTTCGACATCAAGCAGTAACAGCTTTTATCGAGTTAGAAGAGCCGATTATTAATGCTCTTATAGAAATATCACAATATCTGAAAAAGATATTTCTTCAGAAGCAAGCAAGTTACTGGATTCAATACTTATACCAAATTTTTTTTTCGCATTAGAATGTATTAATAAATTATTTAATTATACAACTATTTTATGTAATACTTTTCAAAAACCTGATATTGATTTGATTGAGATGATGAGAATAGCAGAGACAATTTTATTAGAATTCAAAGAAATTAGAGCTAATGCTGATGGGGAATTTCATATTTTATATGTTAATGTTGAATCAAAAGCAGAGCTATACGAGTTCAATATTTGTCTCCCTCGACTTACAGTAAGGCAAACTTATCCTCCAAATATTAATATAGGGTCAATAGAAGAATATTATAAAATAAATGTCTTTATATCTCTTTTGGATACATTTATAACCCAAGTAAATGAAAGGTTTTTAATTTATCAAGAAACACTTATCAATCTGCAGATATTACTTCCGCAAAAGCCCTCTGAACCTTTTTCAGATGGTGATAGAAAAAAAATTAAATATTTGGAAGATTTTTATCATGAAGACATTAATGTATCTCATGATGCTTTATTAGCTGAATGCCAACTATGGTATAAAAGATTAACTATGGTTGATATAGTCCCAAAAAATGCTATGATGCTCTGCATCATTTCAAACATCTTTTAGATTATTTTCCCAATATATTGAAATTATTATATATATTAGCAACTCTTCCCATTAGTACTGCAAATAATGAGAGAACATTCTCTTCTTTAAGAAGATTAAAAACGTACCTAAGAAGTACAACTTCTGAAAGTAGGTTGAATGGTCTGGCCCTTTTGAATATTCATAGGCATTTGACGCCAAACACGGATGAGATAATTGAAAAATTAGCTCCCTCCCAACGAAGATTGGATTTTACATAATAAAAATATGTTTCTATAATATTTTTTGTGCTATCATTTTTAAATGTCTTATATATTTTTCTTTTACATAAAAAATATAATTATTCATATTTCCAACATTTAGATTTTTTATACTTTATATATAAATTTTAAAAGCTCAAAAAAATTTAAATTTCTATTATGGATTATTTATTTTAAAGTCATCATATCCTGGTTATATCCACTTAATATTTTATAATTCAGATTTATTTAAAGTATTTATATGCCGCCGGTTATATTCGTTTAATATTTTTTAAATCAAATTTATTTTTATATATCGGTTTATATATTTAATTTTTTATAATTCATATTAATTTAAATTTGTATATTAGAAATAGTTATTAGTCCTAATAAATTTATGCTTGATATTTTTAAATAACAATAATTTTATTTAAAAAAATTTTAATTACCCCCCCCCACACCAAATTCCTGCGGACGCTACTGACAACACTGTAATTAATACATCCTATAACCGAACATTGATAAAGAAAGATGAGTAATCGGACAAAATGTCCTGGGACTAAATTTTCTAAAAATTTAACCTTTTAATTTTTTCGATTTCTAAATACTTTAAAATTTTTGAAAATTTTAACTAATTTTTCATATTTCTAATATTCTGACATGGCTGAAAAAGGAAGATAAAACAAGATTTGATAAATACTAATAACTTTATGTAAGGTGAAATACATTATAAGTATAATTGTCTCTAGCGTTGAATAACACTGAGGCTGTAAAATATAAATCGAGAATATTATGAAGGAACATTTGAAATTAAATATTATTTTGATCTCATTATTTATAATAAATTTAATAGAGATGTGAATTATTTCATTGGCCCCTTAATTCCTAAAATATTTCTATCAGAGATGTGCCTACGCGCATAAAAGCTCGACCTCGTTCGGATAGCCCGGATTAGGTCTGAGTCCTCGTTCTTACCGGATTTTTTTTTACGACTAGGATTGAATAGATTAAATTTAACTAGTTGCACGATGAATCTTTTAGACATCATACACCATATTTTTTCCTGAAAAACCATAGAAAATAACAACAA